GGCCACCAAAATTTTCTTGTGGACCACCAGTGGTCCCTGGCCCACTGGTTGGCGACCACTGATCTAATTGAATATTGAAACGTCTGCAAAAAAACAACCAAGCTCAGAGAGCACCAAGGATCCCACAGTGCTAATTGGAACCAGAAACTCCATGGTTAAATGGCGCGGGCATAAGTTGAAAAATAAGACGATTACACCACTTAGCAATGGCAGTCCTGGGTTACTTTGTAAAGAAAGGATTAGTTGGGTCATTAAATGAAGAGTCCTTATATGATTCTGGCTTATCATGTCCTGCCGATGTCCTTACTGACTTGCTTGTTGGAAACCGGTAGGAAAGGTTTCCAAATGTTTTTCAATACCAGTCAAACTCCACCCAATCCAAGGGAACCAACGATGTGATTTCAAGACTCGGTGACATCATCAGTACGAGGGCTAGTAGCTGGCGCTCATTCAGCACTGTTGTGAGTTTAAACAATCATCGAATGAGGGGTTGTTAATTGAAAACCACGTGTATTGGATGTAAAAGTGAACCCCACCCCCATACACCAAACCTGAAAATGGCGCAAACCTTCCATGCTATTACCATGAAAACTCTGCAGAAGACCCATGTAGTCAACAGACATCAAGCCCGCCTCGAGCATGACTTTATTAAAATATGACAATCTTCATCGGTATGATATCAGTCTCTGATATCTACATAGATACAGCTGACCAGTTTTCTTGGGAGTGTTGTGGTTTGCCGGCAACAGGTGTGGATGGATGAGGTCTCTGAGAGTGAGGACTCAGGTGAGGGGCCTGTGTGTGATGCAGGGATGGGGCCAGGACCATCAGGGAGTGGAATGCTGCCTTTGGAGATTGTCAGGCATGATATTCTTCCGATTAAAATCGGAATTCCGATATTTTTGGGAATCGCCCCCCCCTTTCCCCCCACCCCTTCTTCTCCTCCTTCCCCTCCCCTCGGAGGCCCCGAGTCAGGAGTTGCTGGCGTGGCTCCGCGCGGCTCCAGTCCCGCGTTGCCTCAGGAAGGGAAAGGCAAAAAGGAAGAGCCGCGGCGGCGCTTTGCAACGGCAGCAGCGGCTCCTGGTTTTGCCTTTCCCTTCCCGAGGCAACGCGGGACTGGAGCCGCGTGGAGCTGCGCCGGCGGTAGCAACTTCTGACAGCCCCAGCCGGATACCTGAGCGGAGCCCGGGCGGTGCGAGCGGAGGCCACTGAGCGGCAGGAAAAGGGAGCTGGGCCAGCCACAGACCAGCCTCCGTGCAACACACCACCACCCGGCCCTGGCGAGGGAAAGTGGCCGCTCCCCGGGCGCGCGGCGGGGGGTCTCTTGGCCAGCCCCGATTTTTTTTTCAGAGCAGAATATCATGCCTGGATTGTGGAGGCTGGCAGCAGTGATGAAGTGGCCCCCCGAGGAGCCCGTGCCCAGCGCGCATGCGTGCAGGGCTGCTCAAGGAAAGAGCAGCTGCGGCAGCACGGGCGACTTGGGAGTAAGGCTGGAAGGTAATGGCCCCTCCCTGAGATCATAAAAGCCAGCTGAGAAACCACAGTTCTTTGCAGAAGGCAAAGAAGTTTGATACTGGAGCCTGGTGGACGTTAGAATATCTGAGTTAGTGTTTGGAGACTCTTTGGTTTATTGCTTAGGAACTTTATCTGTTATTCTTTCTTGTCGGAGCTAATTAGTTGGAAGCAGCCTTTTATCTGTGAAGAAACAGGATTCGTTCATGAAACAGTCAAAAGGTTGTGCTGTTACCTTCGTCTTGTGTATACTCTCTTACAACCAGGTTTGGGTGAGAACAGGGAGTGTTTTGTCACTGCCATCTTGCATAGGGGTGGGCTTCAAAATTTTTAGCAAATGGCTCTCTGCCTGGTTGCTGGGTGGGCGTGGCCATGGTGGGCATGGCCTAATGGGCCTCCTGCACCAGGGCAGGGGAGGGCGTTTTTGCCCTCCCTGGGCTCTGGAGGCTTTCCTCAAGCCTCCAGAAGGGCGAAAACGGTCTCTCTGGGCTCCGGGGGCTCTCTAGAACAGGGGTCTCCAACCTTGACAACTTTAAGCCTGGAGGACTTCAACTCCCAGAATCCCCCAGCCAGCTTTGCTGGCTGGGGAATTCTGGGAGTTGAAGTCCTCCAGACTTAAAGTTGCTAAGGTTGGAGACCCCTGCTCTAGAAGCCGGAAACAGGCCCATTTCTGGCCTTCCGGGAGGCCCATGTTTCGCCCTCCCCTAGCCTCCGTGCAACGCCCTGCATTTACCTGCATCCAAAACGGGCTGCCTGGGGACTCCTGGGAGAGGCCGGGTGGGATGGCCAGGAGTGGAATACGAGGGTTCTCCAAACTGCACAGAATCTTAGCTAGGTTCCTTGCGAACCCCCAGCAGCACCACCCCTGACCTTGGGCGACGCTTTCTCAGTCTAGCCGATAATTCTGGTGGGCTCCCATCTGAGGACTCCGCCAGGTTGGACCCCGTTTAATCTTTCAAGATCAGTGAAAGTGTGACTAGGTGCTGCCACCTATTGGTCCCTTTGGGAGAACATCTCATGGCCACCTATTTGACTTCATTTGTAAGTTGGTTCCCTTGGATTGGGTGGAGTTTGACTGGTATTGAAAAACATTTTTCTATTCATTTTTCCTGCTTTTTATCTTTTCTCTTGGTCTAAGATAATGATCCAGGTGCTTATGTACAGTGCTAAATGTAAGGGAAAATGTTGATTTTGATTTTGAAATGTTGATTAAATGTTGATTTTCATTTTTGCTCCCCCTCTAGATATTATATTGAGGACAGAACTTTTGCCACCTTTCAGAAAACATACATATGGTAATTTCCTTTCCTTATTTTTAAAACCACCTTTAAATATTAACACAAATTCTGCTTTGAATAAAGTAAGGGACGATCCATGAAAGCATGGATATCAATTTGGCTTGGTTTTCTAATTCATTCAAACTTTCTTTGAAGATTTAACCCATAAAAGTCAGGACTGGAGACCAGGGAATTATTTAGTAAGGATCAGTGGAGCCACTGATTACCGTATTTGCCGGCGTATAAGACGACTTTTTTGCCCTAAAAAACATGCCTCCAAGTGGGGGGGTCGTCTTATACGCTGGTAAATACATTGTCACTCGGTGCAAGAGCGACGGGGGCGGAGCTCCGCAACTTGCGAAGCCCCTTCAAGCCCAGCCGGAGTCTCTCTTCCTCCTCCTCCCACCCACCCACCCACCCTCCGCCCGGCTCGGGGCGCTTGCGGAGGCCAATCTGGAGGTGGGGTGGGGGTGGAGCGGGAGGGTCTCTGGCGGGGCCGCTTCGCCCAGCCAGCCCCGAGCCGCGTAATGGCCCAGGGAGTGGGAGGGGGAGAAGGTGGTGAGGGTGGACTGTGGCGCCCCTCCTTCTGGGCAGCGGGGCGGGGGGCAGCAATTTGCTCCTCCCGCTTCTCCCTCCCTCTTTGAAAGACCGGGAGGGCTGTGCTTGGGGCGGGGGGGGGGGTGTCCTCAGGAAGTTCCTGATGGGACCCCGCTGGGCAGGGCCACCCGGCTCCCGAGCTGCTTTCCAGGGTCCCCTTGGGAAGAAAAGGGTCCGGTGGGCGGTGGAAGAAGGCGGGCGCCCTCCTCCCGCCCCCTGTCCCGTCCCATCCCTCCTCTTGTCCCCTCCTCCCCTCCCCGCTTAAGAGAGAAAGATCTGCCTCCCCTGCACCGGGCTTCCACCCGGCGCCGCGTCTCCCGGCCAGCGCGCGCTTGCGACTTGGGAACCGGCCAAGCGACTTTAAAACCGAGCGGAGGCCAGAGATAGCCGGAATTACCCTCCACACCACACACACACACACACACACACACACACACACAGAGAGAGAGAGAGTTGGCAGCTGTCCATCCCCCACCCTTGGAGTCCCGATGGCACGCACACGGGGGCTGTCACAAAGAAAGGGAGAGGAATTGAGTGCCAGCCTGAGAAAGGCGAAGCTGCCTCTCTAAAGCATTTTGGTGGCTTTGTAAGTTTGGGGGAAAGGGGTTGGGGGTGTCAATCAAGAATTATATCCAGAATACCCCAAGTGTTACAACTTACCGTATTTGCCGGCGTATGAGACGACTTTTTTGCCTTGAAAAGCATGCCTCCAAGTGGGGGGGTCGTCTTATACTGCGAGTATATAACAAAAACTATATTTTGAGTGGAAATGTTGGGGGCTCGTCTTATACGCCCAGTCGTCTTATACGCCGGCAAATACGGTAGATGTGGTGTACATTTAATTTTATGTCTCAATTATCTGAACTGTAGAAATGGATTTACTGTAGGAGACCTTGTGCTGGGGAAGCCAGTGATAGAAATCAATTATTTCTGAAGACAACTTAATTTCTTTTCTTTCTTTTTTCCCATTTTCTCTCTTTTAATTTGCCTCTGATTTTAAAATCCTAATCCTAAATCAATAAATAAAGGCTTGCAATCTTACTGATTTAGTAATGCTCATGCTGGTCAATGTTACCAGTCTTTAATGCATGTATTCCTATGAGTAAAACTATTGAAGGAAGAATTTCCATTTGCTTCCTCTTGAGTAAACAGCATAACTGAATTGGCTTTTCCCTGGAGCTGGCTAGTAGTTGTCTTAGTGAAAAAGATTTCTAAGATGGAAAAGATTTCTTGATAGGAACCAGAGAAACCTACTCCATCACTGGACAAGGTTGGTGAGTTATTAATGATGGGGTCTACATTTTTGATCTGCACCAATACGATGGCAGCATTAATCATTTCTATCAATCAAATTTGATCATTAAGATCAAGAGAACAATACATGTTCTCTAGTATGATACCTGTGGAGGGGACAGAAAGTAGAGAAATGTCAGAAATAATGTCGCATAACAAAGGATCAAGTGTCTGGGTACCCACGTTATTGCAAGACACGTCATCAGAACATCTCCAGGTATGATGACCCAGAGTGTAACACAAACATAACAAAATCTAAAACATAAATAAATGTCCTTTAATGCCTTCAACTTGGCCCCTACTATTCAATAATTCTCAGTTGGAGATAAAACTTATTCAAAAATAGTCTTTAAAAGAAAGCAATACAGTCCTAACTTAATGAACAGATAGAGGTGAAATAAAAAAAAACCCAAAACAAACTACAATGAAGGAAATTCCACAACTGACCAGGATAAATAATTACCAAATTCAAGGAGATAACAAGGCACAGTCTGTTGGAAGGACGCCAACCAAGATAACTTCAGCCCAAAATAACACGCTTTACTTCTGGCAACTCTGTATTGTAAAATCGCTCTTATATACTATTCTCCCCAGCTGCAACTCATGAGGGAGATCATGGCCGCTTCCTCTCTCGTAAGCCAAGTTGTTTCCTTCTCCGTTCCTGCCTGAGTGTCCTAGGATGAAGAGGGGATGGGCCAGGTTTTTCCTCTGACTGCCCAGCCAGCCTCTACCCTTCCCCAGCCTCCTCCACAACCTCTGGAGCCACACCTCCACTCCCTGTTGGCTGTTCCTCCTCTCCCGCAAGCCTGACTCTACCAAGGGCATGACACCAGATGTTGGGGAATGGAGACCAAGTTTTACTCAAAAAATATCCTTGGCAATGCATCAGCTGTTTGAATTATGACCAAATCACTACTAAGATGTGCCACTAGGCCAATTGTAGGTGTTGGGTTGCTTATACAACTGCAGGTGTTGGGTTGGGTTGCTAGAGACAAGAGGCTCCTGATTCTGAACCTGTCATAGACTTAAAAACACAGAGAATGGTATTATACCACTGCCAACTGATTCAGAGATACACCTGCTGTCATTCTGGAGGTCTAGACAAGTTGAAGGGATGTAGTTTGACATGGTCTTTTCTTTTAATGTTTAATGATCTTTCCAGAAATTGTGAGTGCTTCAACACTGGAGGTTTTTAAGAAGTGATAGGACAACCATTTGCTTGAAATAGTATAGGGTTTCCTGCTTAAGCAGGGGGTTGGACTAGAAGGCCTCCAAGGTTCCTTCCAACTCTGTTATTCTGTTAATAACATTCTTGTTCGCACTGAATTCTGTGACTTGTTAGCTGCCATCTCCCCACTCGTGCCAACAATGTTGGATTCCTGGCAAGACCAGGAAAACTCATTCCTGACAAAATGTTTCCTATCCAAATTTTAAAAAAATAGAAAAAAAAAATCCAACAAAATGAAATTTAATGTAGAGAAAAGCAAGGTTTTGCACCTAGGCAGGAAAAACCAAAGGTACAAGAAGAGATTAGATGAAACCTGCCTCAAAAACAGGAACTGTGAGAGGGACCTTGGAGTGCTAGTCGACGGTCACTTAAACATGAGCCAGCGGTGTGCAGCAGCAATAAAGAAAGCGAATACTTCCTTGGTTGTATAAACCAGAGGCCTCCAACCTTGGTAACTTTAAGCCTGGACGACTTCAATTCCCTTTAAGTCCTCCAGGCTTAAAAGTTGTCAAGGTTGGAGACCCCTGGTATAAACAAAGGCATAGAATCAAAATCATGTGAAGTATTAGTACCACTTTAAAAAAAACCTAGTAAGACCACATAAGACCACACCTGGAATGCAACATCCAGTTTTGGTCACCACATTACAAAAAAAGATGTTGAACTTTTGGAAAAAGTGCAGAGAAGAGCAACTAGGACCTGGGCGTCAAACTATCCCGTCATGTGACATATCGTGATGTATGGCAAGGTTTTTTTGACTTTGGGGAGCCGGGGTGGGTGTGGCCTGTGTGTGACTCATCCGGCCCGTGAGCCGCCACTTTGACAGGTCTGAACTAGGATGATTAAAGGCCTGAAGACAAAAACATGAAGAACGGTTGCAGGAACTGGGTATGGCTAGTGTAGAGAAAAAAAAAAGGACTAGGAATGACATGATACCACTATTGCAGTATTTGAGGAGCTGCCACAAAGAAGAGGGGATCAATTTATTTTCCAAAGCACAAGAAGTCAAGACGAGAAACAATGGATGGGAACTAATCCAAGAGAGAAACAACCTGGAATAAAGGATAAACTTCCTAATTTCCTAAAAATTAACTGGTGAAACAACTTGCCTTTGAAGTTGTAGGTGCTTCATCACTGGAGGTTTTTAAGAAGAGACTGGACAGTCACTTGCCTCTAATTGCATACGCTCTCCCTCCTTCCTGAACAAGGAGTTGGACTAGAAGACCTCCAGGGTCCCTTCCAGCTTTATTCTGATTGACTGATTGAAAAATATGAGGCACTGCAATTCCATTGTACTGAGAACTTTTCCTTCTGGAGTTGTATCCTGGCATTCAACTTCCACATTCGCCTGTATGTTATTCATTCATTGTATTAATTATCAGAGTTGTCCTTGGGGAATGATTTTTGTAATATCCCAAAATGCTTTTTGGACTTGACTTCCATGCTGAAATGCCAGCCATGACCCACAATCCTTTGAACTCAGTTTCTTCCATGCTTCTGCATTTCAATAGCCAGCAACTAATTGTGAGGTCAAGAAGGGGGAATCAAGTAGGAGCCGAAAGCAAAGAATAAGAATTATGTGCTGAAAGAATTTACATAGTAAGTAAGGCACAAATGAGAGCAGAGATAAACAAATAGGATTCTAAGATGAATTTGCTAGATGAAGTAATATTTAAATCAAAATGAATCAGTAAAATAAAAGATAAATCAATTGTAAGAATCCAATTATGTCAATTATACAGGTATGCGATGGTTTGAAACAATTAAGTGTTTAGCTGTATATCTATTAACATTCACTTAATAACCATGCCAGGTTTTTCAGTAAACAAATTTGCATGTTATAATGTAATGGACCATGTTGTTGTAAGAAGAGTGGCAAATGTTTAAAAAATAATAATGCACATCCCTTTGGACAAGTAAAAAATTATATCTGTGCTTAGATGGATTAGGAATGTCTCTTATATAGTATTTAACTAATTCTGAGAATATAGTGCTAAAATGTATAAATGTTAAAATTTTCCCAGGAAAATTTGCATCACTTTTTTGCAGGTTTTTTTTAAAAGGAGCAAAATATACTAAAATGACTTAAGAGGTTTTCCCCCCAAAAAAATATATTGTAAGAATTGACAAAATTGTATAACCAACCTATTAAGATTAAGAGACAGTAGGTGGCAGAGTTCTATAGTAAAGCCCTTGCATGGTACACTGAGAATAAAGGTTGGATAGGAGTGAGTATGTTTTCAAGTTTTATTTGTTTTTATTTATTATTTTTATTATTAAACCAACAAATTGTGTATTAGTGTTACAAAAAACCCAAAGTGGTCTTTTAATAGATGCTAGTTTCTGCCGCAATCTGATAATGACTTGAAATCACAAGGTATTGATTAATATAGTTGATACAATTTAGTCCCATTGTTTTCTCATTCCACTGAATACTTTTATTTTAAAATGATGCAGGGGGATAGAAAGTAGAGGAGAGCCCTTGAGGATCTGATTAACTTTCTCTTTATGGTGAAAATAGTGTAGTTTTCCCCCCCTCTTTTGGAAATATTAAACATATCTTGCATTTACAAAGATAATAAAAAGTGATGCAGAGTTAAGGTCTACCTTGATGGATTGGTGCCAAAGGAATAAATTTATCCTCCTGTTAGATCTACTCTGGATGGTTAAGAAAGCAAGGTCAGATAAACAGAAATTTGCTTATTAAACTTTACAGTATTGCCCAAAGATAAATATGGAAATATCTGTTAATTTGGGGGAAAGTATTAGTTTTGATTTCTAAATTATCTAAAGCCTGATACAGGTGGTCCTCGAGTTATGACAATTGAGCTAAGCAAGACAGTTGTTAAGTGAGTTTTGCCCAATTTTATGATCTTTTTTTGCCACAAATAGTTAAAACCCATGCAAGGATGTATTTATACCAATTGCATTGATTTAATTTGTTTATACAGCTTTTATGCTGCTTCAATGAAACAGACAAATATAAGTGGCATATAATTATATAATTTAAACCTAAAAACCTTTAAAATAAATTCTAAAGCCAGTGTTCCAATTAATCATAATGAAATAAATAATGACTGGCTGTAATCTTCTGTACTCTTAGTTGAGATCCATTGATCCATTGAGGTTTCCTTCTTGTTTTATGGGTCTACATTTATCCCAAGTGGCATCACTTCAAGAGGAAGTGGTTTTATGTTTCTGACTGTGATATCTAACGAATTCTAGTAAAATGAATAAAAGTAATACTTTGCAGAATGAATGAAGCATGTACAAAATCAGGGAGGTGTCCATAAGTGTTTAAGATCAAACCTGTCTCAAAGTAAACAATCTCTTTCAGACACAATGAAGATTATCCATCAAGCACATGGCTCTAAGGTGCGTTTATCATTGCTTCTTTATTTCCTTCTGATGATGATGATGATATTATCCATTCTGTCGTGTCCGGTTCTCTATAGTCCAGGTCTCCACATTTCCCAATCTTGCACTGCTTCTTTGAGTTTTTCTATGCTGTGGCATGGCTGGCTCAGGAATTCTGGGAGTTGAAGTCCACAAGTCATAAAGGGCCCATATTTCCCCACCTCCGCTCTAGATCGTTCTAACGTTTTTTTCCTCTTGATCTCGGAAAATATCGACTTCTCTCATTCCACCCTTCCTTTCCCCATGTTTCTAGACCAATGAACTTGTTGTGAGTTTAGAGGATGATGACAAACTCATTTTGCCAGAAGACAGCACCTTGAGAGCAGCTGGTGTAGGTAGGTTGCTCGTTTGAATTGACAGAAGATGCGGTTCATTGTGCTGGCCTTTAGATTAGATTAGATTAAATTCAACTTTATTGTCATTGCTGTGGATACAGGCAACGAAATGCAGTTAGCATCCAACCAGAAGTGCAAAACAACAGTAAAATATAAATATATGTATGCAAATATGCAAGGCATCTATGACTATGTCAATGGAAAACACAACAAAATGTATGTACACGAATACACAAAGATAAGTGTGACTGCACATATATGAACAAATACAACTGTACAAAATGTTTATGGACACATTGAATATAAATACAAATGCACAGAGAATTATATAAAATACATCATATATTATCAAGAGAAGCATCAGCATATGTGTGGAGACAAACGAACTGAGGAGTTCACCAAGGAAACCGCTGTGTAGTAAAAACTGTTCCCTAGCCTGCTGGTCTTACACTGCAGGCACCTGAACCTCCTCCCAGATGGAAGAAGAGTAGACAGTTTGTGGGCTGGATGAAAAGGGTCCTTAACGATGCTGTGGGCTTTACGCAGACATCGTTTCCTCTGAATGTCCACAATGGCAGGAAGTGGAATCCCTACAATGCGTTGGGCGGTTTTCACCACCCTCCGTAGTGCCTTTTTTTCTTTTATAGTGCAATTTCCATACCAAATTGAGATACAGCTAGTTAAGATGCTCTCGACTGTGCAGCGGTAGAAATTAGTCAGAATAGCTGAGGAGAGGTGATTCTTCCTCAGTAATCTCAGGAAGAAGAGGCGCTGGTGAGCTTTCTTAATCAGACTAGTGGTGTTAATCTGCCAGGACAAGCCCTCAGAGAGGCGGATCCCCAGGAACTTGAAGTTGGTGACACATTCTACCATTCTCCCATTGATGTATATAGGAGAATGTGCGTGACCATTCTTTTTCCTGAAGTCCACAATGAGCTCTTTGGTCTTGTTAGTGTTGAGTAATAAGTTATTGTCAGCACACCACATAGCTAGGCACTGCACTTCCTCCCTGTAGTCTGAATCGTCGTCGTTGATGATGAGTCCGATCACCGTAGTATCGTCTGCGAACTTGATAATGGTGTTAGAGCCATACATAGGCTTGCAGTCATAGGTGAAGAGAGAGAACAGGAAGGGACTCAGCACACAGCCTTGGGGTATGCCAGTACTCAGTGTGATAGTAGATGAAGTGGAGTTATTCAACTTGACGTGTTGTGGTCAAATAGTCCAGTATCCAATTACAATTATTCTGAGAACAGCTGACTGTATTTGGATCGCCAGCCGAAAAGCAAACACTATTGCTGGTGCTGGATGTACAAACTGGTAATTATTCAGGAGCCAGGAGAGGAGGCTTAATGTACATTCAAATCATTGGGCTTGAGGGCACTCTGTGTCTCCCTACAGAATGCTAACGAAGGCATTTCTTTAAAGAAAAGAAAAGGAAAGAAGGTATGCCTAGAACTCTGTGGAGAGTAATTTTAAATGATTGACAGTTTGGTTATTAGAACTACATTTGCTTCGTCTTTTCAGTAACATTTAAATGGACGGTTTGGTTGGAAATTTAAGAAGGGGAAACTAGTGAGGAGACATGAGAGAGGCATCTGTTTAATAAAGCATAGCGGTGAAACCACCCAGATTTTTGAAGCAGAGTGCCCTGGGGTATGTAGAGAAAGAGGATTGTATAGGCCAAACCAGGTGGCTGTAGGGTGCCGGTAAAATATTGATTTGGCAGTCCTTGTTCAGTGACTGTCTTTATTTATTAAATTTGTTTGCTGCCCATCTTGCCACAAGGTGACTCAGGGCAGCTTACAGCATTAAAATGAAACCCTAAATATATCAATAAAAGAGCCATGCAGAGTTGCCTTGCAGTAAGAAGGGCGGCTAATAAATTTTACAAGCCAACAAACCAAATCACATTAAAATTAGAATTAAATACAAGGTGTAACTAAAGATGGGGAGGAGCAGAGGAGAAGAATATAGGGGAGGAAGCATTCATAAAAGTATTCCATAAAAGAATCAGTGGTGGGTCTTATCTAGCAGGGCCTGAGGAAAATGCAACCTTTGATGGTGAAGAGAGGAGAGGAAAAATGGAGTGTTATCTGGCTAGGCTGTCCTTTCTAGCATTTGTTTGATTTAAGCCTTCAAGGAAGGGTGGTTATGAAACCCTCTAAAAGTACTCAAAATTATCTAAACAGTTCAACTGACAACAGAAGAGAATGTATCATTCAAATAAGATACAGGTGAAACTCGAAAAATTAGAATATCTTGCAAAAGTTCATTTATTTCAGTAATGCAACTTAAAAGGTGAACCTAATAAATGAGAAAGACTCGTTACATGCAAAGCAAGATAGTTCAAGCCGTGATGTGGCATAATTGAGATGATTATGGCTTACAGCTCATGAAAACCCCAAATCCACAATCTCAGGAAATTAGAATATTGTGAAAAGGTTCAATATTCTATAGACTCAAAGTGTCCCACTCTAAATCAGCTAATGAAGCTATAACACCTGCAAAGGGTTCCTGAGCCTTTAAATGGCCTCTCAGTCTGGTTCAGCAGGAATCACAATCATGGGAAAGACTGCTGACCTGACAGTTGTGTAGAAAACCATCGACACCCTTCATAAGGAGGGAAAGCCTCAAAAGGTAATTGCAAACGAAGTTGGATGTTCCCAAAGTGCTGTATTAAAGCACATAAATAGAAAGTTATGTGGAAGGGAAAAGTGTGGAAGAAAAAGATGCACAAACAGCAGGGATGACCACAGCCTGGAGAGGATTGTCAGGAAAAGGCCATTCAAAAGTGTTGGGGACTTTCACAAGGAGTGGACTGAGGCTGGAGTCAGTGCATCAAGAGCCACCACACACAGACGGATCCTGGCCATGGGCTTCAAATGTCGTATTCCTCTTGTCAAGCCGCTCCTGAACAACAAACAACGTCAGAAGCGTCTTACCTGGGCTAAAGAAAAACAGAACTGGTTTGTTGCTCAGTGGTCCAAAATCGTCTTTTCTGATGAAAGCAACTTTTGCATCTCATTTGGAAACCAGGGACCCAGAGTCTGGAGGAAGAATGGAGAGGCACACACTGCAAGATGCCTGAAGTCCAGTGTGAAGTTTCCACAGTCTGTGTTGATTTGGGAAGCCATGTCATCTGCTAGTGTTGGTCCACTGTGCTTCATTAAGTTCAGGGTCAACTCAGCCATCTACCAGGAGATTTTGGAGCACTTCATGCTTCCTTCCGCAGACGAGCTTTATGGGGATGCTGACTTCAGTTTCCATCAGGACTTGGTACCTTCCCACACTGCCAAAAGCACCAAAACCTAGTTCAGTGACCGTGGGATTACTGTGCTTGATTGACCAGCAAACTCGCCTGACCTGAACCCTATAGAGAATCTATGGGGCATTGCCAAGAGAAAGATGAGAGACATGAGACCGAACAATGCAGAAGAGCTGAAGGCCACTATTGAAGCATCCTGGTCTTCCATAACACCTCAGCAGTGCCACAGGCTGATAGCTTCCATGCCACGCCGCATTGAGGCAGTAATTGCTGCAAAAGGGGCGCAAACCAAGTATTGAGTACATATGCATGCTTATACTTTTCAGAGGTCCAATATTGTTCTATGTACAATCCTTGTTTTATTGATTGCATGTAATATTCTAATTTTCTGAGATTGTGGATTTGGGGTTTTCATGAGCTGTAAGCCATAATCATCTCAATTATGACACAGCACGGCTTGAACTACCTTGCTTTGTATGTAATGTAATGAGTATGTAATGCGTCTATCTCGTATATTAGTTTCACCTTTTAAGTTGCATTACTGAAATAAATGAACTTTTACACGATATTCTAATTTTTCGAGTTTCACCTGTAGTTTTGAAATGATTTGAACAATATTTTTTTATAAGATGGAGTTAGTTTGTAGCAGAGGTGGTATTCAGCAGGTTCTGACCAGTTCTGGAGAACCGGTAGTGGAAATTTTGAGTAGTTCGGAAAACCAGCAAATACCACCTCTGACTGGAGATTTTGCAGTATCCTTCCCCTGCCACGCCCACCAACCCATGCCCACAGAACCGGTAGTAAAAAAAATAGAATCCCACCACTGATTTGTAGGTAAAAAGGAAACACAACTTTCTTATATTTAGTGCATTAGTATCAGACACATTCATTTTTATCTATTATCTGAGGTTTATATGTCCAACAATGCTTAATTCATCTCACTTGAATAACAATAACCAGGATTGTAACCTTAAGAATAATTATAATGTATTAAAATCATAAATCATAATAACCATTAGAAAAAGGAAGCAACAGTGCCTTGTAGAGCAGCCTAACCTACAGCAGGGAAGTTGCTCTTATCACCCTGTTAAGGTTTCTCTCATCTGCGTCTATTAAGTGCAGAGTCACTTAGAATAGATGAGAGGGTGGTATGGAAATTTAATGATAAAAAATAAAAATATATCACAGCTCTCCAGAAAATCCAGGTTTATATACCTTTCTGAAAAATCCACTAGAATGAGACACCCAACCTAATTTTGGGAGGAACCCCGCTCTAAAGAAGGGGGCAGCATCTAAGCATTGACGCTTTATCTCCTTTTTTCGATAGAAAATTGAATGGAGAGATCTAGCATTTAAGTAAGCACAGAATATTTTTGTTCACTTGTAGAAGTTTTAGAATAAGGGTAGACATCTGAAGCTCGCTCCTAATGACGTCAAGGGTCTACAAACCCAGATGTGAGCTTCTGAACAGGCTCGCTCATTGGAGAAAGACAACGTGTGAGAATAACTGTTTTGGAGCAATAAATAATAGATAAGCAAGGTTTAAACAGGGTTCAGTTCACCCAAAAAGTTCCATACAAAGCGCCTTGTTTTCACTTTTGATTCCTCCAGGACCCTTTTTTCTCTTTCTGCAGATTTCCTAGTCAATATTCAATCATAGCTCTCCCCGCCCCTTGGTCCTTTCTTCCTGACACACAGGCAGACTTCATTAACTTACAGTTTAATTTTAAAAAGCGAACTTGGTCGCTTCACACTTCAGAAGGCTGCCACTGTCTTCTAATTGTGATGACTTTCCATCAGCGATGTGTCTGCTCTGAATTAGTAATGTTGCTGACTTACTGTTTTAGAAGAAGTCCTTGACCTGCTGGTGGGAAGAACTGTGCCTGTTCTGAACCTCTGTGGTTCCTTGAGCTCTGCCAGATCCCCTGTGAATAATTAGAGACACTTGAAGGTATTGCTGGAGAAGCCAATTTGTGTCTTTCACTTTGCATATTGTTGAAGCCTCATGAATTAATCATTGGCAGGGGGAAAAAATTAGCTGCTTCAGTCTCGCATTTGATGGGTCATGAGGGAGAATGTAAAGTGACCTGTAAAATATTCTACTGATCCTCTAAGTATTAAATTATTACTGCTACAGGTTAATTTCAGGGGGAACCTCCCTCCTTTCTCACTAAATAGAACAAGGAATTTTAAAATACAGGTTTAGCCATTTTCTTATGTATTGAAATGATAATACAATGAAAGAGAAGAAGTAATGCTTTCAGCTTGTGGAATGCTATCTCAATGTCTTCGTTTTGCATTTTGTCTTTAAGCAAGGGTGCTTCCCTGTTCCTTCTGCCAAGCCTACTATTTCTTCTTGCCATTGGGATCAGTCGTAAAAAGATGTTAATCAACAACAGCCTTAAATGACAGCTTAATTATTACTATTTTTTTTTCCCTGATGGAAAAACGCTGGTCTTTATCGAATAGGTGAAATATCTGTGTTTTCTTATTTCAGCGAATGAAACGGAGCTTGCATTTTTCTGCATGGACGATTACAGAAAATATAAAACCCATCCTGTTGCTACTTGGTGATGACCAAGAAAATTGAGGAAAAAAAAATCTGCACTGTTAATGAGATGGTTTATCCTGAAATCCTAAAAAAATATATGTTAACAAGCATCGAGACTTTTGTTGCAAGACCCATTGCAGGGGAGGAAGGAACTACAAACAGTGACATTTGCTTTCTGACAAGACTAATTTCACTTCCTGAAATGTGTGATTTTTTAAAATAATAAACATACCTTGATACTTTCTCTGTGTGGCTTGCAAATAGGAATTTGAAGGTAGATTGACACAGTCATTTATGCCAAAATGATGATGTATCAGCAGCAGAAAAGAACCAAGCATTAAAAAAAAAAAAAACTCAGAACAATCTTACCACACTGGAGCTTCCTTTGCATTCCTTCCCTTGTCTCTCCACAGCAATTTCTTCAAGATGAAGGAATTGTGAGAAATGCCTTATTTCATTTGGCAGATCCATGAGGGTAAATGCTGGGCTTGTTTCAGGAGTTATGCTGCTTTTAATAAATTGGCAGAGTGCCAAAGTGGTGTTTGTATAGTGCTAAACCTGTAGAAAGGAGATAAATAGCTTCAAAATTGTCACTTGCAGAGTAGGCATCTAACAGTTTCTAATCACCAAGTAACTTCTCCCATTTCCTTTGATTTTTGACTGGGTAAAACTTTCTTCGGTGTAGGGATAAGTATCTAGTTCCCATTGTGGTAAGAGTTGGACCCTGTGATTTATGAGATACTGTCACCGTGGTATGATAACTGTGATGAGATTTGATATCAGAATGCATCTATGCTATTAACGGAGTCCTTTGCAGTAACCATTCTGTACCAATATGGTCAAGAACGAATGCTTGTCATTTCTGCTGCTCTTCTTTTAAGGATATAACAATGGTTTGGTTTATGTTTGGACATGGACAAAAATCCTTTCATTGTGAAAAGATACTGCCTCTAACGCGTTGGCAGGTGGGTTGCATCAGTTCACTTTCTGCCTGATGATTTAGTTGTGCTGCGTTGCAAAACATTACGAATCCTCTCAAAGGGAAGTCTTAATATTGCTGTTTCATAGAGAGCACGGGGTTATTCCCAGGGCTGAACGGTGGGGCAAATTCTGGTCTTGTTAATGATGCTTCTGTATTTTTAATAGCTCTTGTTTTAATTGGTCTCAACAGATGGCGACACCTGGCTGACACTGACTTAGCTTGGAAGCTAAGTAAGATCGGTGTGGGGTGGTGCTTAGTGAGGGACTTCGGGGGGGGGGGGGGAACAGGGGGTGAAGGCTAGATGGGAAGCAAGGGGGAACATCCCAGCGAGGAGGCAGTGTGAAACACTTCTGCATTGCTGCATGGCTATTGCCATGGAGTCTCCAATTCCGGGCTTGACTTGAAAGAGAGAATCTTGTAAGCCTCCTGTAGTGCCCAGTTTTGCTTGTAGCATACACAGAGAGTCCTAGACCTATGATCGCAATTGAGCCTAAAATTTCTGCCGCTAAGGGAGACATTGCTTAAGTGAGTTTTGCCCCCTTTTACACTCTTTTTTTGTCAAGAGGTATTAAAAATTACAGCAAACACTACTTGGGAGATTCTTAATACAGGCATAATTTGCCCCGCCGTTTGTTCAGTGAATCACTGCAGTTGTTAAGTTAGTAACACGGTGGTTAAGTGAATCTGACTTCCCCATTGACTCTGGTTATCAGAAGGAGGCAAAAGCTGTTCACAAGACCTCAGGACACTGCAACCGTCATAAAAATGAGCCGGTTGTCAAGTATCTGAATTTCAATGAACGGTCACTAAAACAAACTGTTGTAAGTGAAGGACTACCTGTATATAAAGAAAAGAGGGGGAAATATGCACTCAGACAAGCTTTGGAAGGGTGGGAGCAAGGATCGATATGGCCTGCTTCATGCAATTTTACTAAGCCAAAATAAAACCCTTATTCTGATGCCACTTTGTACACCTTTTGAGATAAGTATGACTTCTTTGTGATTAAAAAAATTCTGTATCCAAAAAAATTCTCCGTTTAGGCCCCGTGATTAAAAGAATAACTTAAAGAAGTGTTCAGTTGGGAGATCTCTTTGGTGCAAAATACACATCTGAACTTGGCAACAAATCCAGAATCTTTGGGATTTAGCGGTTATTTAGAAGAGAAAGGAGCCTTTTGTACGTGAACTTTTTACTAGCAAAATGATCCTCGTTTTGCACTGTTGGAAGAATTTTCCTTCTGGGTTCAGTTCCAAATGGGGAAAAAGACACTGGAATCATGGAAGTTGCTTGGAAAGATGGTATAATGGTGGATAGGATCACATGCAGGGGTGGGATTCAATTTTTTAAACAACCGGTTCTGTGGGCGTGGCTTAGGTGGTGAGCGTGGCTTGGTGGTCATGTGACTGGGTGGACATGGCTTGGTGGTCATGTTCTTGGCTGGGTGTGGCCAACTCAATATCACTCACATCGAGGCACGCATCTCCTCGCCTGGCCTCTCATGACTGGGGATGCTGCAACAGTCATAAGTGTGAAAAATGGTCATAAGTCACCTTTTTCAATGCCATTGTAACTTTGAATGGTTACTCCACACAAGCAAAGTACCAGCAAAGGAGGGAAAAAAAACTCCAGAGAAGTTCCAGAGACAGGAAGTCTAGTCCTGCCAAGAATGTAATAAAGGTTAACGGAGAGGCAGTTTCTGTAAGCAACACCAGAATGTTTCCTTCCTGTCTTCCTTACAGGATTAGGCCAGTAATTTTTTCTAACAACCGGTTCTCCGAACTTCTTAGAATGTTAACAACCGGTTCTAGTGAATAGGTGCGAACTGGTAGAATCCCACTCCTGATCACATGCCTTGAAACTCTTGGGCGAAGAAAAGGGAAGAGATGCTGAGTCCTTGGGTTTTATACCCTCTCTGGCTTTGAACTTCCTGGGCACAGGAAGGGTATCCTGATTGATTGCTATCAGAGGTCATAGCTAGCTTTGTAGGTTGTCTGTGTGCTAAGTTTGGTTGAAACTTGGTGGGTGATGCAATGAAAGGCAATTAAATGGCTTTGCCTGAAGGAGGTAGATCTTTGTTATGTAGAATAAACTGGCCCAGGCCTTAATGGCCCATTAACAAAAATGGGGGGGATGAGGTTCTGCCTCTCTGAGTTTCTACTTTTAGGGGAAATATTCTGCCTTTTTAATATATCCTAAAATATTTTATTTTTCTAGGAGAGGAGTGGGTTTTAACTTCCAACAACAGTATAGGATTTCAGCATTTTTGGATATAGAAAAAGGTGATTTTTGTCTTTATCACATCAGAAAATAACTTTTCTTGTAGAGAAATTGGAATATTCAGTTAATCTTTGGCTTCAGGGTGAAGACTAAATTGCTGGATTCTAGAATGGATGCCAAAATTAAATGAATTAGCTGTTAGGATAATGCCGCAAAGAATCCAATTAGCTGTAAGAAGAAAAATAATCAAGATAGTTGAAAACAGGCCTACCAGATCTTACCGAAAAAGCCAGGCCACCCCAGTAGAGCTATATAGAAAATTTCTAATTCTTTTCTGCCATCTAGTCAGGATTTTTGCAACCTAGCTATACTAGGCCAAGTGTATACTGGATTCAGCGACCCAAGCTTTTAATTTGTTATGAATTTGTAGCTAGTACTGAAAATATGCCAAGAATGGGACCAAAAATACTGGAACGTTGCCCATCATTTTTAGTTTTGGCCCTATAGGAAGTGCTTGGAGGAAAAATTCACCCACTCTCTTTAGATGGCTGAGGTTTCTCCTCCCACCCCCATTTTTATACAAAAAAAGACATTGCAAGATTCAATCTCGGTCGGTCACCGGGGACCAGAGTTTTAGTCTTTCTTCTGAGCTTTTGGACTCGTTCTGGAGCCATCCTCAGTGAACTTCTCTTCACCGGAATATGTGCTTTGAGCTATTCTATGCTTCATGTGTATTTGGTGGCTTTCCTATTGATTGATATGTTGATGGCCTGTGATTAGCTGTTGTTTTCTTGTGCTACCAAGTCCTTGGCTCCTAAGTCCTTGATAAGCTGGTGGTAAATTAGCGTTTGACTGACAAGAAGCCCTATTTCCCAGGCTTCAATCATTTCCCTGGCTATCTTTATACCAACATGGCCAACAATCTTAGTAGATGCAAAATTGAATATATGTCCTCAGAGCTCCCAGAGGATTATTAAGACGAATATGGACCCCCCTCACCTACACATTAAGTTAACACAACCACGAGGGTCTCCCTTCCCCCTCCCCACCACCCTGTTAGAGGCTTGTTAAAAAAAAAAGGTGGGGGGGGGGCTGCCAGGGCAGTGAAGCAGATGGGAAGCCGTGTGTGTGTGTGTGTGTGTGTGTGTACACGAAGTATGGAGAAGCGGCGTTGGAGTCTACAACCAGCCCACAAGTACATAATTTTTTTCAAGTGGGAGAACGATTCACTCTATACAAATGAAAGAAAAGTGATGCTTCCCTCACCCACACCCCCTCTCCTCCTCCGGTTTATCTTCCTGCATTTTAAAGCCACCTCTTTGGCATGGCTAGCACGCACAGATCCTCTGACGAAGCTAACAGTGGCGCCTCCTTTTGGTGTGAAGGATTTTGACGGGGTGAGAAATGGAAGTTCAAGAACTGAGAAGAAGGGGAGAAAGAGAGAGGAGGAGGAGGTGGAAGTAGAGATGGGGCAATCGTTGCTGCCACTGGTGCGCAGGAAGGACACACCTTCTTTCCTTGCCGTTTGCCCTCCGATGAGTTGATTTGATCCAGCTTTGGAGTGTTTTGCTTGCAACCTGCGAGCCACCCCCCTGCACCCTCCACCTGGGCGCATCATTGACACACCGTCCCACTGTTTTTCTTTTTAAAAATTTGATTTTGTAAAAAATAAAAAGTAAAATTCCCTTCATGGGCCCCCTTGAGCTCCATGGGCCCTGGAAAAATGTACCGGCTGAACCCCCTTGTCCTCAGGCCTGTAAGTCCTTGTTCATTGCAATGTGAGGCTACCAATGAATACCGTCATGAAAGGGGATAGTCCCATATGTTTGATTTCAC